TTGGTCGCTGAGTGGAGCTCAAGGGAGGAAAAACCACCCGGACCCGACAATTGACGTTTCCAAAACGGCCCTGGGCGTTTACCAACCAGCCCCGCCCTGTTCGATTCGTTCTTTGGGTGCGTTTACTAAACGGCTTCGCTTGTCAGGGTGATTTTTATAGGGGGGGGATTTTCTGCCCTCTAGGAGCGGCGACTGCCCATGAGTCGCGCGCCCGACGGCTCCGCGGGTTCTGCGGCCATCGGCGCGCGCCTTTGGAGCGCGCAGAGGCGCGACGAGACGTCGAGCCAGGCCACGGCGTGCACCGCTGCGCCGCAGCGCGCGTATGACGTTCCCTGGTTCGCCAGTCTGCGCTATGCGGCGCCCTGCGCTGCGATGATCAGATAAATGCAGGCACGCAGCGATGCGCTCGGCAATGCCACGTGGCTCGCAAGAGAGGCGATGCTGATACGCGCGGCGCGACGTGCGATCATGGTGCGCCATGCAGTCCATCGCGATGTGATGACAGCCTACAGTGCCGTTCAAAACAACGATGAGTTCATGCCTAAATTTACGCATAACTTAATCATGTATCAACCATCCGATGATTTTTTGTTTAAAAAATATATATAAAAAAAAACCATGTGTTAAACACTGCCCTGTATGTAGAGATGCAAAATGATGCCGCGGGCTGCTGCGCCGTGAGCGGCGGGCTCGCGCGCGTGCGCGCGCGTGTTCGGGGCGGAGTGCTTGGCCAATGTGCGCTGCGCCGCGCGAGCCCTTTTTAGTTTGTTGTTGCTCAGAAGGGGAGAAACACACACAGACACAATTCATCGTCGAATCCCCAGGAACTATCGAAAAATATGGGAATTGGGCGGGAAGACAAAATATGGAGAATCCTTTTATTTGTGTGCATTTATTTGTGCGTCCTGGGGCCCCTTCATTTAGGGCCGGGTCTCAGCGACCAAAGGGCCCCAAGAGACCCCGAAGAGGCCCGCAAGAGCCGCCCAGAGGCCCCCCCAGGGGACCCCCAAAGCGCCCCAAGAGACCCCCAAGAGGCCCCCAATAGCCGTGCAGAGGCCCCCAAGGGCGCTCGAAGAGGCCCTGGGATTGCCCAACAGAGCCCCAGGACAGTACAAGAGAGCGCCAAGACACCCCAAGAGAGCCCCCACAGAACCTCGAGACGCGCCCAGACAGTCCGAGAGGGTCACCTAAGCCTCCAACAGGTTCCCAAAATGCTCACACAGAGGGCCCCACACTGGACGGCTCACGAGATTCATCCATATGCTTCATGCAGGCGGGTCCCGCTTCGTTCCTCCTCGTACGTGTCTCGTTTCGTCCCTTCCTCCTCGTCTTCGTGCTTGCCTCCCTGCTCGTTGTCCTCCTGGTCCCCTCGCTGCCCTCCCCGTCATCCGCGCTGTCATCCTCGTCATCCACCGCCTTGTCGTCGCCATCATCGTTTCCCTCTTTTTTCCCCCACGAGCCCAAACGGACAAAATCGGCGCTTCCCAGTCTTGTTCGATCGTGTCCCCTGACCAAATAAAGCCACGCCCCTGGTATGGCTACGTAACGCACGGACTGCGGACTCCAATCATGCAACATGTATGCTTGTGGAGTTTTGTTCGTGCAATATAGAATTTCCACAACAGCTGAATTTCGCCCAGCATTTCCACAACAGCTCAACCAGAGAGGGTGGACATGGATCACCAGCATGGGCGTTCGCAGAGATGGGCGTGCCCAAGGGTGATCGACATCAATGCTTTCTTACATGTTGGTGTCGTATTTTCTTCATTCGTCTTGTTTCATCGGCAGCCCTCTGCACATTACAGCTATTGGGGCGCCACGGCGAGTGTGCACCGACTGTCGGCATCTCTGTCCACTTGCGTGGAGCCAGAGGCCTAAACGGCATCGGCGACGAGGGTGCGAAGAGCTTGGCGGAGGCACTGCGCGGCAACTTCTGCACCGTGACCGCTCTGAACCTCAGCCACAACGACATTAGGGACTCGCGGAGAGGGGAACGGGCC